AATTTGGAGAGTGTGCAGAGAAAATTGACTAGAATGGAAAAGGTCCTAGACACCATGCCATACAAGGATCAGTGGAAGGAGCAGCAGGCTTTTAGCCTGCAGAAAATACCCTGGGTTAGGGGGAGAGCACCACAGCTGTCTGCAAGTATTTGAGGGGCTGCCATCTGTAAGCGAGATGCAAGCGATTCTGCTTAGCCCTGAAGTTAAAATGAGTGAAGAACAATTCAGGTTAGAAGTTTAAATAAATAAATAAATGAGTGAGTGCCAGGGACACCGGGGGCCAAGAGTGACCACTTGGAAGGGCCAACGGTAAAAAAAATCCCCGGCCATACCTCAGCTCCCCGAGAAGGAAGGGAACCTGCCCGACGTCTGTCTGCGGGGGCTCAGACAGCTGGGTCCCCGCAGTTCTCGGGGGCCGGCTGGTCAAAGGGCACAGGTCACAGCACCCGAGCCTTGGGCGCTCCTTCCCCACCCCCCACCCCCGCGCGGACCCGGCCAGGAAGGCGGAGGGGGGAGGGGGGAGCCTCCCGAGACCAGCCCCGAGCCCTAAGCGCTGGGGCCGCACAGAAGCGGAGCCGGCCCGGCCCCCCTCCCGGCCCGGGGCTGCGCCGGCGGCCGCTTACCTGCGCCGGCTCGGCGCCGACAAGGTGAAGCTCCGGCTAGCCCGCGGGCAGGCGGCGCTCCCCTGCGGCTGCTCCCCGGACCGGCCCGTCCGCCCGGCTCCCCCTCGGGAGCCGGCGAGGAGGAGGCAGCGCCTGGACGCGGCCAGCAAGAACTTGACGGAGCCCAGAGCTGCCATGCCGCCTGAGTAAACGAACCACGGCCCACTGCGCTCTCCCTCGAACCCGCCTCCCGCCGCCTCCTTCCTGGGACGCGGAGGAGCCCAAGGGCGCAGGGACGCCCACGCTGCGCCGACTCCGAGCGGGGCTACGCTTCCCAGCGGGTGGTGCGAGGGCCCGTCGCCGCCTCTTCGCGGCCGCTGGCGGAAGGTGCGCGCGTGACTGGAGTAAGGCTATCGCAACGCCCGCCCCCTGCCCTTGGGCTATTGGGCAACGATGACGTAAAGGGCCCCGCGCCAGCCTCCGAGTGCGCGCCTCGAGGCCGTGAGCTGGCCTTCCCGTCTCGCTGGTCGAGGTTTCCCGTCTCGCTGGTCAAGGTTTCCCCTCTCGGCCGTTACCGCCCCCTCCCGGGTGGGTAGTGTGCCTTGTTTTCTTTTCCTCGGTGGCCTGTGACGGTTATCTTTGTTTCTGTAACGTATGGACAGATGGACCCGAGGGTCGGTCCTGTTTCAAATGCTGTCTGGTCATTTTACAGAACTACTTTTCTCTTAGGCAATCTAGGACCTTCAGTGTTAATGTTATTTTATTCTAAATTTAAACACAGGCCTGCAAAAGAGCATTTCCTTTGTGGAACACAAAAGGGGATTATATATGAAACTATAAATCTCCTTTTCTACTGCTTCCTTTTTGTTTTAAAAATGTGTAATAAAGTCAATACTCTTTAAACACAACACTGAAGATTGTATAGGAAACTGTAATTCCCTATCTGATACTGCTTCCTTTTTCTTTTTTTTCTCAAAAATTCATCATAAAGTTCACAGTATTTAAAACTGGAAGTAACCTTGGAGGTCATCAAGTCCAGCCCCCCCCCATACAGATGAAGAAATGGAACCCCAAAGAACTGAAATGACTTGAGATCAAAGAAGAAATGACCTCAGAAACCATCTGTTCCAGCCCTCACTTTTTACAGAAGAGGAAATGAGACCCAGGGAGGTTAAATGACTTGGTCAAGATCAAACATGTAAAAAGTCAGCAATGCTGGTGATGGGAGCTGTAATGATAGACCCCTAAAAGGCCCTGGACTTTCCCATGAGGCCCAGGTCCCTGGCATTGGCATGAGGCTCATGTCAGTATAATCCTTTCAACTGTCCTCTCATAGTGGCTTTGACTCTACCGGAATCTCCAATTCTTTGTTACCTCTAAACTAGCCCAGCCCTTCATTGTCAGTTACCTCTAGATCTAAGCTGGCCACTTCCCACCCTTGATTCCATCTAGACCTATTCCTTGACCACTGTATAAAAGTGTACCTCTTGCCACCATTAAATTACTCAGATTCTTAAAATCTGGCTGATGGTTTAGATTCTTATAATCTGACTAATAGGGTAGATTCCTAAAATCTCACCTACCTCAACCAGTGTTTTAATAAACCTCGTCTCTGAGCGAAAGAAGGCTTGAGTCAAATTCCTTCAAAGTAGGACCCTCGTATTCTGCCTCTGAGTTTTGGGATTCCCAGCACTCCTAGACCTCAGCACTGAGATTTCAAATTAGGTAATTTGATTCCAAGTTTAGCATTATTTTCATTGCAGCAGAAAAAGATCCACATCTAAAGGGAAAAAAGTTATCTCTCCGAACTAAAATTACTGTTATTACTTTCCCACCCCACCTCCTCCCAAGACAAAACAAAATAAATCATGGAAAAAAATTGGAATGCTGACATAGTCAGATGGTACCTTATACTTGAGGAAAGAGCATTTCAGAAACTTCTGATGAGTGATAGGTCACATGGCTAGACAATCAAAAAACAGATTCAAACTCATGAGGTATAGGAAACACTGAACAAAATCCCATACAAAATCACACCTTATGTTGCTGATGAAAGGGGAAAAGCATCTATTCATTCACTATTCATTTAACAAGGTTTCATTCAGTGTCTGCAAAGAAAGCTCTCTGATGAGCTCATATCTTAAATTGAACAATATCTCCCACATCTGACCCTGTTTTACTATAGCCACTATCCCACTGTATTTAAGACCTTTATTACCTCTCACTTGTTCTCTTGTAATAGCTTTCCTTACTAGTCTCCTCGTCACTAGTTTTTCTCTCTCATACCCATGCTCAATCCATTCTTCATGCAGCTACCTGGATTAATCTTCTAAGGAATCAATCAATTAAAAAATATTTCTCACTTATTAAATGCTAGGCACTGTGCTAAGTGGTAAGTGCAAATAAAAAGCAAAAAACAGCCCCTCTCCTTGAGAAGCTTATATTCATTAGTTATGCAATAATTTATATACTACACAGAGACTCTGAAGGTACTATCCCAACTCCACACTGGGACTAACAGGTCAGGTCCCCAGAAAAGGCTATCTATATATCCCCTCAAGGTTCTAGGGGTGACTGAGAGTTTGGGGAGTGTCTTTCTCTAGTACTGTCACAAGTCTCATGTATTCTCCCCAATATCAATTGTCACTGATTATCACCCCAATATTATTTTGGCCATTTGAAATTTCCTTGATATCACTTATAACCAGCTAATATCAGTTGTTTTTTGCAAAAGAACATTTACTGAGCAAACAGAGCAAGACCTAAAGTACAAAAAAACTCCCAAACTGGAAGTGTACTCTCTTCTCTCACCTCATTCTGAGGGGAGTAGAATCAAACTTAATGTTTACCTGATACTAAACTTACTCCCCAGGCATCCAGTCATAAGGAAGACCTGAGTTCAAATGTTACTTTGGACACAAGCTGTGTGACCCTGGGCAAATCACTTAACCCTGTTTGCCTCAATTTCCTCATCTGTAAAATGATCTGGAGAAGGAAATGGCAAACCACTCTTGTATCTTTGCCAAGACATTCATTTCTGGGAATTCCATAACCAATGAATGAATAGTTCCCTTGCTTATGGGTCAAATAGAGTTTATATATAACCTCAGAAGTAATAGAGATTCACTGGAGTTTGTTGAATGTGGAAAGGACACACAAACCAAAGCAAGCACAAACTGGCTTCCAAGAATCCATTGTTAAATTTTCAGGTGCAGCATTTATAACTGGGAAATCAATAAACATCATCAATAAATGTTTGATTTATTGTTTCATAGACTGTCTAGACTTAAGAAAGTGTTAGAGAAAATAATGAAGATCAAATTTAAAAGTATGTTGTGTATACATTTTTTTCTGGATAAACAGTTGTTAATTGACCAGAACATTGACCAGAGCACCCGAGGAGGGGGAGAGGGAGACATGGTTAGACCTACATTTTTGGAAGATAGATTTGGTAGCTTTGCGGAAGATGGATTGGAGTGGAGAAAGATTCAAGGCAGTGGGACCAATTGGAAGGCTGTGGCAATAATCCCTGAAAGACATGATGAGAGCCTGAGCTAGGGTGGTGTTTGTGTAAGTGAGAGGGAAGGGGAGATATCTGAGAGATGTTGTAGAGAAAGAAATGACAAGATTTGGCAACTGATTTGCTATGTAGAGCAAGTGAAAGTCAGGAATCAAGTATAAAACTGAGATTGCAAACCTGAGTACCTGGAAGAATGGAGATTCTATCAATTGTCATTATGAAGCTGAAAAGAGTAATAGATCTTAGTGAATGCATAAATTCTGTTAAATCTGAGGTGTCTACAGGACATCCAAATGTCCAGTAAGAAGTTAATGATGTGGGACTGAAGTTGAGGAGACTATAACTGGATAGATAGATGGATGGATGGATGTAGGAATCATCAACACAGAGATGAGGATGTGAAGAAACTGTTGTCATGCTTGATGGAACTAGCCGTTGAATGGACAAAGACTGTACTACACCCCTGGTGAACCTTGAAAAAGTAGGACATTCTCTAGGGAGTAAGCTGAAGTAGGTAACAGTTATTAGGAGTGTAACTGCTGGCAGCAGAGAATCAAGCCAGCTATGGAGGAAAAACTCAGCTCTTGAGAAGTGTTGCCTGCAACCAGATAGTACACTGAATGGAAAGGCGAGAAATAAACGTGAGACATGGGCCAGGTGGAGCAGTAGAGACTGACTCAGTTTATTCATCAAAGGGTACAGGATATATAGAGAAAATCTATCCTAACTTCAATGAGTCCTCCCCGTGAGACACTCTGCTAAGGATGTGACAACATACATTTCCTCCTTATCAGAATTCCTAGATAGGGTTGTAAATTCCAAGGCTTTTTCCTGGAGCCTGTATAGAGGAATGAATATGTAAATCTAAGGTTCAAAGAGTGAGAAGGAATGTCTCAGGAGCCTCCTAGCAGGGGGAAGTTTGGAGAGCCCTGCTTCTTAACTGATTGAGCTCTTTGGGTTTAAGCCTGGGCAAAGGTCAAACTCTGTCCTGGATCTTAAACCCATATTGGACCTTAAGGCTGGCCCTCTACAGAGAAGGACTTGCCCTTTGCCTTTACCCTTTATTAGACAGCAATGGCAAGAGAGGACAGGGGAAAATTTTCTCATCACGCCAGGTTCTTGTAGCAGAGATACTTGCCCAAAAGTCAACACTGCATTCAACAGGGAACAGACCTAGCAAGTTAAGGCACAAGGCAGAAGGAGCTTTGTGAGTCAAGAGAAAGTTAGACCTAGCCAGCAGTACTTAAACTACAGAGAAGGGGAGCAACATGAGGAAAGCATGAAGAGAAAGGACATCAGGGCCCCTGCACCTCCAGAAGTACCAGTTCCATGGGCCATGTGAGTTCCTTCTGTGTGCGCCTTTCTATTGGTGTGCTCTGTGTGTCCCAGGTTTATGAGGGGAATTCTTTGGTACTATTATTCTTAGGATACCACCTTCAGCAAATAACTTTGCTTTGAGATAATTGTGTCAACTAGCCTTTAGAGGTAAGTGCACCAGCCCAGCATTAGCTCTAGAGCTATGGTTTTAGAAGTGTGGACCCCCCAGAGTACTTTAAAACTGGGATAGTCAATTCCCAGGAACCCAACCTGCAAGTATAAGTAGGGAGGGAACTACCTAAGTATCATGCTACATATACTTCACTCATTCATTCATGATCACTGTGATTTAGCCAGACTAACTTTTTTTTTCTATTTTTCACATATGACTCTTGTCCTGTCTTTGAACATTCCTAGAATGTATTCCTTCCTAATTTCTGCCTCTCAGAATCCCATTTCCTTCAAGGCTCAGCTCAAACACCACTTTCTGAAAGAGGCCTTTCCTGATAGATACTCTTAGCATCTAATGATTTTTACACCCCACTCCCCCCACCCCCAATTACCTTGTACTTTACGGAATCACAGAATTTGAATATTGGAAATGATTTCAGTGGCCATCTCCTTCAATCCATACCTAGAAGAAATCCAAAGTATAACACGCCCAACAGGCATTTTTATTTCTCACCAGACCTGGGATTTTGTCTGTAAGGAAGCTCCTAGTGGGGAACTTCCGCAAGCAAAGCAAATGAGCAACTTCCAGTCATTTCCTCCTGGCATTCTGTCTCTCCCTGTACCCCACCCCTCCTCAGCCTTGATTTCACCCTCATCCATACCTCCAATCCCTCCGTCCCTTAGTTCTTTCTCTACTTTTTCTTGTTATTGCCTTTGCTCTGACTTCCCTTCTGCGAGGTCCTCATCTCGCGGGCAGCCTGCTACTTGCCTTTCTCGGTCTTCGGACGTCTCTGGCCCCAACCCGCTTGGATTAGGGAGTTCCCTAGGCCAGCTAGAGAACACGATCAACAGAGCACCCGGACGCAGTAGTCTGGCAGTCAAGCGTGTTTATTGAGCAAGGTTACATCGTGAACTCCCCACCCACGTCCGGTCCCTACACTTATATACTGTCCCTAAGTTCCAACCCCCCGGGCCGTCCGTACAGCCAATCAGGAGCCTTTCCCGTCTCGCGGTGCATTCTCAATACAGCCAGGAGCCACGGACGTGGCAGCTGCAGAAGACACACCCGGGCGTCTCAGGGCAGAAGCCCTCCATGACTGACTGCTGTACAGACACGTACCCCAGGGTACCTAACAACTCCCTTTCCTTGTTAGATGGGGACCGTCACGGGGTGGTTGGGGGGATGCATCATTAATTGTATTTCAGCTTTCCTATGTGTAACTCCCATTCCGTTAGGAGGACGAGTATCACATCATGGACATATTCGTGACCAGCCCAGAACGGTGGCCCCTAACACCTTCCTTTTTAGCTTGACTCTATAGTGAACCAATTCAACATGACAGTACTCTCCACTATCAAATCCCTTGCCTCTTCATCCTATAAGTGCCCACTCTTTGCCAAATTTTAGCCCTGGATTATTCCATTCTTACTCATATGCTGTACTGGAGGAACTCTACTGACTGAGTATGGCTATGAATTCATGTTTTCTAACTTCAATTGGGCTCTTTTTTCTTGATTCCTAATTAATTCTTTTTGTTTGTTTAGGATTCTCTCTTTTTCTTTTTGTGGAGGCCATCTGGGTTAAGTGACTTGCCCAGGGTCACACAGCTAGTAAGCGTCAAGTGCCTGAGGCCAGATTTAAACTCAGGTCCTTCTGACTCCAGGGCCAGTGCTCTATCCATTGAACCACCTAGTTGCCCTCTTAATTCTTTATTTCACTTTCCACAAAAGTTTTTCTAAACCTCTCCTTTTTTCAAATTTCCCATACCTACTGCTCTCTACTTTCTCTCAGCCGAGGACTTTGCCTCTTTATTGAAAAAGTTGAGGGGATTCAAATGAGCTGGCAAAGTCCAACATTCTCCTCCAAACTTTTTGAAGTCACTTGCATTTGGCACTGTTTACCAACCTCTTGTGGATACTGTTTGGGCTTTTATAAGAATATTCTCTCCTTTTTCTTTTCCTACCAGTAAAACTACTCCTTCTCAGTCTCCTTTCTTGGCTCATTTTCCGTATCACACCTTGTCAATGTAGGTGCTCCCCAAGGCTCTGTCCTCATTCACTTACTCTTCTCTCTACACTCTCCCTGACCCTATCAGTTTTGATAGAATCATCTTTACCTGACGACACATGTGTGCATGTGTGTGTACATATATGTATATACACACACATGCACACACATATACAGCCCCAGTCTTTCTCTGGAGCTTTAATCCCAAATCACCAACTGCCTGTTGGATGGACATTTCAAACTAGATGTCTGAGACACTTCTCAAATGCCACATTTCCCAGAAAACTCACCTATTTTCCCCCTTCCTGTAGCTTGAGGGGTGCAGCGGATAGAGTATTGGGCCTAGGTTCAGGAAGACCTGTGTTCAAATCCAGCTTCATACAATTACTAGCTGTGGGAGCCTAGGCAAGTCACCTAACCTGCTCACCTCAGTTTCTTCAACTGTAAAAGAGGGATAATAATAGCACTTACCTAAAAGGTTGTTGTGAAGATCAAATGAGATAATATTTGCAAAGTTCTTAACATGGTGCCTAGCACATAGAAGGTGCTTAATAAATTCCTTCCTTTCTCTCTTTCAACTTTCCCTATTTCTGTCAAAGTTACCACCAACTTTCCAGTCTTCTAACTTTGAAACTTTGGTGTTATCCTCAATGCCTCACTCTCTCTCACTCCACAAATGCAATTGATTGTCAGATCTTTCAATTTTTACTTTCATATCTCTTTCATCTAACCCCTGTTCTTAATCATATAGATTCTACCCTCATTCAGACCTTCATCACCTCTCACAGAGATTATCACAATGTCTTCCTAGTTGATGTCCCTTCTTCAAACCTCTCCCCACCCTCATCCATCCTCCATGCTGCTATCAAAGCAATTTTTGTTAAGCACACATCTGACCATGTCACTCCCCTATTCAATTAACTCAAGTGCTCCCTTATTGCCACTAGTATAAAATATAAACTCATCTGTGCAACTTTTAAATCCTCTCATCATCTAGCCCCAACTTGTCTTTCCAGATTCATCACACGGTTATACCTTCCCACTCTTTGAGATCTAGCCAAACCATCTTTCTTTCTGTTTCTCTCCAATCTCCATGCCTTTACACTGGCTGGCCCCCATGCCTGCAATGCATTTCCTCTTCACTTCCACCTCATAGAATCTCTCTGTTCCTTGAAGACATGGCTCAAGCACCACTTTTTACGTGAAGCCTTTTCTGATCCTCCCAGGTGCTAATGCCATCACTCTCAAACTACCTTGGATTCAATTATTTTTTTATTTGTGCCCTTTATATTTATTCTGCCTGCATATATTAGATACTTTCTATCTCTCCTACTTGAACTTAGGATCCTTGTGAGCAAGGATTGTTTCATTCATTGGATTTCTATTTTTAGCACTTTACACAGTACCTTGTATGGAGTAGGTATTTAATAAATAATTTTTGATTAATTAATGACTAATTATGGTTTTAGAGAGTTGTTTTGGCCACGAAGAGATTAAGTGACTTACTCAGGGTTACACAGCCATTATGTGTCATGTGGGACTTGAACCCCCTTCTTCCTGACTCTGAGGTCATATTTTCATTCATTATGCCGGTTGCCTTTGCCTGATAAGTGATTATGCAAAGTAACACACATTACTATACATATCTTTATGTTTTATGTATACATACGTATATATACACGCATAGACACATACACATACACACACACCACACACACATATATACATATATGTCTTCTCTCCTGATACTTACATGTATTTGTAACTTCCTTTTGGTTGGGATTATTTTATTTTTGTCTTTGTATACCCACTGCCTGGCCCCTTGGGAGGATGGGATTGGGAATGGAGAAAGATGATCAGATCTCCAATTTCAGTAGTATTGAGAACTTTTCTTTTGAGTAAACACCTTCTGCCAATTTAAATGAGCATTTGCCCTGTAATTTATAGTTTTAGGGAGTTTCTAAAGGATGCTGAGAGATTACTTGACTTGCCCAGGGCCACATAGCCAATATATGTCAAAGGCAAGACTTTAACCCAGGCCTCCTTGTCCTTCTAAGCACTATGCCAGGCTGACACATGACAGGTGCTTAATAAATGCTTATTTATTGATAGTACCTTTGATGCCCCAAGTCTTGGCATCTGGGATGGATTGGAGTCCACTTTGGAACAGGTTTTCTATTACTCCTGGCATCGTAAGGATCAGCCATCTGTGATGAATGAGATGGTCAGTAGCATTTACTGTGTACTTAAACACTACGCTAAGACCTAGGGATACAAAAAAGAGAAAAACATGGACCTTGCCTTGAAGGAATTCACATTCTAATGGGTGCAAATAACTATATATGTAATATATATTATAATTTTTACATGTAATGTTATATGTAGTATGTATATATATATATGTACAAGTGTAAATGGAAGATAATTTCATAGGAAGGGAAGTAAAGAGCGGTAGAAAGAGATGCCAAGAAAGGCCTCTTGCAAAAGGTGGGGTTTCAGCAGAGTCTTGAAGGAGGTTGGGAGGCCTAGATGTGGATGTGAGGAACTGGAGCATTCTAGGCTTGGGGGGACAGCTAGGGAAGGGGTACAGAGAAAGGAGATGGAGCATCCTGTGGAGGAAATGCGAGCAGTCCAATGTAGCTGGATCATAGAATCAGTGGAGGGGAACAAATTATAAGACTGGAAAGGTAAGAAGAGGCTAGTCTGTTACTTTACAAGGCGAATGGAGCAGTTGATATTTGATCTTGGAAACAATAGGGAGCCAATGAAGTTTGTTTGTTTGTTTGTTTTAATAGTGACATGACATGGTCAGACTTGGTCACTTTGACAGTTGAGTGAAGGATTGATTGTAGTGGAGAGAGATTTGACACATGAAAGTCAATGAAAAGGCTATTGGAATAGACCAGGTATGAGGTGGTGAGGGCTTGTTTGGATCAAGAAAAATTAGAAATGCCTAGGTAGCTATTTAGAGGATATATAGTATAGTGTTAACAGATGGCAAAGGGAATAAAGAAAGAATGACCCAAGTACAACCCTGCTTTTATCTTCTCTATCAACAAAAATCATACTGAAACTGTCAAGGTAGTTTACTGCCAAGGTGGCATTGGAGCCCAAGAGAAGCAAAGGGAGAATGAAAGAATGTTGGCCTTTTTTCTGTGAATTCAGGTCTCTAGGCCCAAACAAGCGATGGCCCAGAAAGAAACATAAAGTAGTTTCGAGATTAGTCTTAGAACCATTACCAGTAAACTTTAATAAATCATAGTAGAGGCACAAGAATAGTGAGTGTGGGCAGATGCTTTCCTAACATTTTAAATTGGGAGGGGCAGGGAAGTAAATTTCAGTGTATGTAGGCTTCACTAGACTTTCTGAAGGTTTCATGACACAAAACTGATTAAGAGCTTCTGCTCCAAGTAATGACAAAACAGCTCTCCCGTGGCTACCTGGGGAGGCTCATGAACATGGACCCTGTATGAAGTGAGAGGACTGAGCAAAATAGGTCTTTCTTCCCCCCAACACCTTCTTCTCCTATACTTCCCCACACCCATATCCCCAACCACAGCCCCATACCACCTCCCAATGAGCCATGTCTGTTTGGTTTTCCTACAACTACAGACAGGTCCTTTTAAGGGAAAGGGCTGCCTCGGAGAATAGGTGAAGTCATGGCTTCTGATAAGTGGTTGACATCATCCTTACCAAACTTTACGTGTGCCTCATTTCATCTCTAAGGGGGAAAACTGGGGTCAACATCTCAGAAT